AAAAGGTCTAGTTCAACTTAGGATCTAGCTGGATACACATGTATCTTAATGTTAATGTTTACACTGTAACTCAAACCCAATGCTTATCACTCCAAAATCTAACGCTTTATCCACTAAGCTACTTGGTCCAAGAGACATTAATCGGTTTCAGTTCTCAATGTTAACAGCAAAGAATCACAAGCCCTTACTAGTAATCTATAGTATATTTGAAACAGCTGACAGGCTGGTATAAGTTTATGATAGAAACGATATTCAAACTTTATAAATTCCCACAAAACCATTTATATATAAGTAGTAACTTTGAGATATATTTCTTACATCTTTAATGATAAATTGTGGTCTGTGGAGTTGATCAAAACGGAAATGACATGACTGATCATCAAAAACTGCCTAATAATCAAGTGATTATGAACAACCAGTAATAATATTTACTAGGTCAATGCTTTGGTGCTAGTTGATACTCATCAGCATAGTGTATCTACACCTTGAAGAAACTGATAATCTACATATGATTCGAACTTGTATCACCCAGTAGTATCGCGGTCATATCATTTACCAATGAGTTATTTGAACTGTGATTTACTCACTGTAGGATAAGTTAAAGTAGATGAACTGCTGAGTTTTATCTTAGTGATTTAGTGATAGACTGTTTCCTTCATAATATGAACATTTTGGATTGTAGATAAAATTCCATAGAAAACATGACGAAACAACTATTCAGATAGCTCTCTGATTATGCAATCACTCTACAGCAGATATTGATCCGTGACAAAAGAGACCTGCTAACTAACTGAATACAACTCATTATAAACAATATGAAAAGTAATGATTTTACATGAAAACCAAGGATTTCTAACAAATATGTTTATAATCGGAGAGGGGTTTTGTGGAGATTGTAGTAATTTAATAATTGAGTTCATGAGTAAATCAAAGCTAGACCACCATGGAAAACCTGGAAGCACTGGACCGCCGTTTCATCCTAGTATGAAACTCGTCAGCAGTGTGCATCCACGATCCCGCCTCGTCAGATTCGAACCCAGGACCTATCAGTCTTGACGGTCTAGCTTCAGTTGACTCATGAATTCAATTATTAAATATGTTTAATTGAAACAGAAAGTTGAAATAGGACAAGGTTTACACCTCCATCTAGCATAGTGTATGGATTTCTTTCATTTTTTTTGCATGAAATTAATATTTAAAAAAAATTCTCTAACAAGACATAATGAATTCATTCAGGTTGAATAGTTCCAATTAATCATAAACTGATAAACTTTATTCATTCATACTTATTTCGATGAAGAGTATTTGTTCAAAAAGCAAAATAAATTGGGGACAGAAATTTAAAACGAACAAAATATGGGACCGTGTAGATTGTTCAATTCTAATTAAAACGATTAAGGGAATAATAACGATAATAATAATAATAATAATAGAAATCTGATACTTATTGATATGTCAAGGGAAAAAAAAATCAAGAATGGAATTAAACACAAAGAGTTCAATTCAACTATTAACTGACCCATATTTAATGTGACCATACCTGTATACACATAGGGGAATACATACACTACATATTACACCATCTATCATCTTATGAATGAAAATTTATTGAGTAAATTAGTGTGTATGTAGCTAACAATAAAAAAATCTTAAAAAAGATTCTATCATTTGGATAAACATTGTCTTTGGAAATTACAAAATTAAAAAAAAGTGAAGATTAGTCAGTAATAACATAGTGGTGAATTTGGTAATAATTTGGAAGTAATTGTTATTGACAGATTTCATTGATAATTTTATGAAATACAAATGACTATTATGATATGTGTGCTACTTATATTGACATAAGTAGTATATGTGTTAGTCGTGAACAGAAGATCTGGCAGCAGAGACAAGAGGATCGAACAGTAAAGAATGGAAACAGGATGCAATTTGTATGAAAATGCATAAACAATGAAGTCTGAGTCATTTTGAGACAATTGGTGAACATTTTGCAAATTAAGCATTTACTTTATGATTGTTAGATTTTATTAACAAGTCCCGTAATTTTGTGTTAAATACATTCGGTTGCCCCCACTCATGTTCTGTTCACTACAGTATTTCAGATTATTAGTTAGGATTTTTTCTGTATTCAATATAATTCTTAGTTTGTATACATGAACGGCCTCTCTTAACTTTGTTCGTTAGTTAGCCGATTTATGACCATTGTGGAATATTGAGGATTTTCATTTTACAATTTCAGTGAAGAGAATGTTTTTTTGGTGTCGTTTCTTTAAACAATATAATCATTTCACTTCACTATAATTAGTTATTCTACGATACTAATAAAGATAAATCTAATTGAACACTTGATCCTGTTTCTTAAACTTCTAATAACCCCTAGGCTTAATCTATTCAGCAACTTGAATACGAGAGAAAAGGCACGAAATATGGAAAGAATGTTTTAATCCAAGGTTAGTTTATGTGCAGAAAATCTAGGTTATTTGCAGCATTTTAGATAACCTTGGGCTGCTGGAAAGTTATGGAGCCTTTCTAAATATAGTACCAGGATGGGTAATCATCCAATCAGAAATGTGACATTTCACTTTCTAGATGTTTCTGGCAAACTTCTATTGAATGGTTATTTGATAAAAAGTTTCTCAGTGATTTCAGGACCGCTTTGCTCTGATTTCGAAGAATTTTCTGGGTCTCATCAACAAATGGTTTCTTCATATATATTGCATAATTTGCAAATGCTCTCATTATAAATATTTTTAAAGCAAGGTGTTCGAACTTGGATAATTCAAATGATTTATGTTGTACAGTTTGATTCAGTCACTAACACACTTCTATGTTTAGCAAACCAATTTTTCAGAATAGAAAGACTGGCTACATGATAAGCCAAATAACGACAATTGAAATATATATATATCCAAGACTTAAACAGGAGAATGTGTGGGCAGTAGACTTAGCTAGGTAAATGATTCACTTACGATATCTCGCTAACATTTGCATCTTACTAAAGTAAATGCACGATATAGCATGTGGTCTATCTAGGGAAAGAATCTGCCGAATCACATAAAACAAAATTATTGCATACTGTATGTTGAACAAAACAGAGGTGTCTTAAATGTTTAAGTGAAGCGTCGATTTGAACAATATTAACCTGTCAGTTAGCAGATGTATAAAAAATTTTACCAATGAATGTTGATCCATGCTGTTGAGGTCACTTTACCTATATATTATCCTGAATTATTTGAGATTTGAAACGACAACACAATAGTGAACGCATTAACGTAAAATAACATTCTGGATTGTATTTTTTAATAACTGTACAAATAGCCCCCAATAACTGAGAAAGGAAAAATGGGAGTTTCTTTACTAACCCTACAGTGCTAATTCAAGTGTAAAATATGTTATCATTCATTTCCTGGTTCTTCAGCTTAAACGTTTGATAGCAATTAAATTAGAAACATAGTTTGTTGATCTCCTTGTAATCAAATAAACACTAGAGACAATTTGTTGTCGTGATCCCCTAAAAAATCAATGTAAGTTGCTTACCAATACAGGTTTGCGTACTCAGTTCTAAGCTACAAGGTTTTGAATGTATCAACATATGAATTATTGTTTCAACTAGTGAACTCTACTGAAGTTTCACTATTTATGAACTAACATTTAAATGCTTGACAATCTCATTGATGAACTAATTTCAAATAATTCTAGAATTTTGTTAAGGAAAACACCAGTCTAATTTCTTACTGCATAATTTAACTTTATCTCATCTTACTGAACCTTTATTATTATTACTATCATTATTATCTGAAGACGTTTTGGTGATAACTGAACTGGCTAAATGTTACGATAATAAATGAATGAACAATAAGGAAGAAGAGATGTCATACTTTCTTTGTTTACAATTCTGAAGAACTGTTGGAGAGACAGTTTCATGATCGCAACATACCTATTTAACTTACAGATTCTCTAAAAAGTATAGTGGGCACAGTTTAAAAAGGTGAAATACTTCAATTTATTCTCTTGAACAAATTGTGATTAAATAGCTGATAGGAATTTAGGAATGATTTCACTTCTAACCCTAAGAGGGATACAAATATAGTATTTTTTTCTATTGACTAATATCTGCTAAAGTCATTGAGAATAACAGAGCACTATGCAGATGTTAAGTCCTAGTTTAAGACTTCTCATCAATTAGTACATTATTACGTTGATGATATTTAGGTTTCATGATGCAAAAGAATTCAGTCAGAATTCAATGATTAGTATTACCCTGCTTTTAGATAATTTCTAATCATTATATATGGTCGTAGGTAAGTGTCCGTTTCATTTTCAATAAGCAACTAATCATATTTGATGACATATATTAATCAAATTTTACATTTAAATTTATTTTTAGCCAATAGGATTGGATAGTTTGCTTTCTAACTGATCGTTATAGATTAAATTTTTAAGTGTAATACTTATTTACGCATTTAGGTCAAGGTAGATTTTGTGGGGATTTCCAAATCTTAATCATCTAATTATTCAAACTAGTGTATCAATGTCAGTACCATTTTTCTGAGATATGATTATGTTGTTCAAAAATAAACTACGGTATTTATATTATTACTATTAGGTATATAATTGATAGACGATGTGGCAAAGCTTATTAAGCGCTAATACGAATAAACATGTTTGAAAGATTTACTTATATTTCAACTAGAACATATTCATGTATTGATTTTTACGAGATACAGTGAAGTTATTATGAAATCACTAGATCTCAAGTAACAGATGGCTTTGGGATGGAACACTGACTTGTGTTGAAAACAATCAATGTTCAGTATGCAACTAGCATAGCATTAAACTTATTGAAGATATCAATTTTCAGAATAAAACTCGTTATCTGATCATACATATATACAGTAATAAACATATATTTCAGTTTTATATGTACAAAGCTAAGGGACTGAGTTTAGTAATTTAACTGATAAATAAACAAGGGAAGTGATACAAAAAAAACACATTATCTATACAGAATTCGGCTGTGCATATGGTGTACCAGATAATGGAGTAAAACCAGGTAGTTGTTGCTCACAACCAACGGAATCTGATTCTAGCTCAGGGGTGATTGCAACAACTTTGAATCGACTACCCATTTGTTCATTGGTGACGAGGATTTCACACGCTGAAAACAATTCATCTTTTTGTTGTTCTGATTCACATTTAGACAATAAAACCTATAGAGAGTAAATGAAGTAAGTGAAAACAAATAAACAAGTAAATAGATTGAATACGTCATGAGACAATCTGTAGCTTTATTGAAAGTAGGAATCATTAGATTTCGAGTACATGTTTATTGAGATCTCCTGAGAATTTCTTAATAATGTTTTCGGAGGTCAGGAAAAGGCTAAAGACATGTTGTGTAATCAGCATTTAGGGGAAACACCCTAGAAACTCCTAGAAAATTGACACTGATTAGATGATTACTCATCCTGTCGCAAAAATTAGGATCCTTCCATAAGTTTTCAGGGGTCAAAAGCCTCTAATAAACCCATAAATAGCATTTTCATCTGTACATTAGCTTATCTTAAAGTACAGCTTCTGTCCTTACTTTGAACCTTTTCTCTAACATACAGAAGTGAATTGTAGGACAATTTCGGAGATCTATGGAACAGCTAAGAAGTCATTAGCTAGAGTTCGAGTAACCGATTTGTCAATATCTTACTAACTGTGAGCAGTGAAAGCCACGAGTACGACCATATGTGTACGGCTATAAAGTCAACACCACCGAAGGGTCTTAAACCAACACAAGATGAGTATCTTATGTTGGTTTCAGTGTCTATGACGAAAACCAACTTCGAGCTAAACAATTTCTACAAATTTTTTATAGTAATTTTATTATAAGTAGAGATAGAGTTTGAAGCTGATGGTATTGAGTTCGAGTCACGGAGTGAACATTGACGTTGGGACATACATATGAAGAGTCTCAAATAAGGCAAAAGGTGCGTCCTGAATTCCAATGCTAACCACTATCCATCTCTGCTTAATAGTGCTCGTGAATTAATGACAATATCGAGGCAATCCGCACATATCCCGGAATAGACTGATCAACTACAGTCCTAAACAACAATGGAACGATTCGAACAGCCAATATATGTGAAGTGATAAGTTTATCATTGTTAAAAGCTGAAAACACAGTAGAGCGATACTGATTCAAATAAATTCTTACCTTATCTGATGAAGTAATTTATCATTCATGCATATGTACATATACTAAAGCTAAGAACTGTACATCTGTTATCCACGTGAAGGTTGATCGTACTATCTATTACCACTTCTTCGGATCAAGTACAATAAATTCTTTACCTCTGGTTAACATCTCTACCTATATTGTAACTTCAAAAACATTTAAAATTCACTGGATCTACATGCACAATGGAACAAGGGTATTAGTTGTTTTCAACGTGATCGTCATGAGTTGGAGGTTTAAACTGTAGTTAAATTCATAGGTAAATAAATTTCATTCATGCTACCTTTATTAGTCTTCATGATCAGTACAGATAGGACTATGCTCGGTACATTACCCAAAAAAGGACTAAGATAAGTGCTTAAGGCCTAATATGATAAAAACTTATATTTTAGGTAAAAAAAAATCTGTTCAATTGAGGGAATCGTGAAGATTAATTTGCATTTGGTAGTTGTTACAGATTTACATTATTTGAGGTATTATTGAAAATCAAGTCGTTACCGACAACACTGAGTAATAGTTACACGATGTTACGAATTTCTTGAAATTAGAACTACAAACCATTGGGTTCCATTTCGATAGTAATCTACAGGTATCATCTTCACTGTGAGATTTAAATGTCCTGAGCGAATATTGTCGGGTATTTTCAAAAATACTAGGATAAAGCAGTTATTTATTGTTCTTCATATTTCAACAGCACCTTAAATCATATCGATCCACGGAGAATATCACTTACAAAAATATTCAACTATATAAAGGGAATAATAATAAGCGAACAAGAGTATACATTGAAACTAGAGTTGAACCAGGGTTTTTGGAAAAAACTAACGACATATTTTACAGGTCAAACTATAAGACTTAACTATCAATTAATTAATTTATTCGGTTAAAATATTGAGTGACCGATCCGGTTCAAATGTAAGTAACTAAAAAGGGGAAATAATTTTTGTGTTTTAAATCATACTATATGCAAAGCTGAAGTATTCTTGTTGAAATTCACTTAAATTCATAGTAGATAACATGAATAATTTTTAAATGTCTTTATAAGGTAAGAAACTTGAAAAAAAAAGCAAATCCATAGGGAGAGAGACAATTAAAAAAAATTCAATCATTTATTAATGTTTACCTTTAATCGAGTGAATAAACCCATATTGATAAGAAAATAAGCTTGAGTTACAGGGCCATGAAGTTTGACTAGAGTATCAGGAAAAAGAAAATTTTACTAGTTAAAATATAAACAGAGATATGAAGCAAAGAATTACACAGTTAGAAATTATTCTCCCTTTATTAACCTACAATTTCAGAAAAATGCAAAGAGGAGTTAAATTACTTGATGTGGTGTTAGTTCATAACATCGTTGACTATTGGACTGAATTGTGTATACAAGTGCAAGCTACTTAATTAGGATTCGTGAGATTATTGTAATTAGTGGTTAGAAACATTGGGTGAAATGATTTACAATAGTACGCAAAAGCGTAAATGGACTCAATCTTTGTCTTCTTTTAGGTTCTGAGTTTTGAAAGAATCCTATACCTTTTTTATCCTGAGAATTTATGCTTCATTTGAATTATTCCGCCTAAGTCTAAACCCTTCTGCAACGACCGGTATAACTACCACTTCTGTTACTCAAGTATCCCGCTGTTCTGAGGTAGTGTGGCAAGTTTAATCAATGCATATGTGCCAGATTCTACGTTGTGTGTCACTTACTGAAGGAAAGTACTTAAAGGAACTTAATATGCTTGTACAGAATTGTGTACTGAGGTTATAAACTAATGGTACAATGCAGTAGTTTGATACAAAACATGTTTAAAAGTCAAGAATTTCGATGATTGGATTGAAAAGTCTCGAAATGTCTTATTGGTTAATGAGAACTGTTATTATTTTTTCTTGAGTAAAGGTTCGGTAGTTATACGCTTGCAAGTGCGATTAATTAGCAATGTTGTAGTTTAAGACAACTAGATATGTCATCGTATATATTTGAAAATCGTGTAATTTATTTATCAAGTACAGTCTTATGCACGCGAACAACCAATAGGATGACAGCAAACATCATTATGTACATTCAAATGAGAGAAATTGCAACGCATACGAAATCTTACGCTATCAACTTCTAGATTCGATTATCCGATCGTTTTAATCTAACACTAGTGTTACGTCTAAATGTTGTCGATTGCTTTCGTTATTAAATGTAAGTGCATTCTATGTGCTTATTGAGTTATCAGACTAACTTTTTTCTGTCAGCTTCTCTAATACACTCCCTTTGACACTCTCCCAACATACGAGGTACCTTCAGGCTAGACGCGAAACTACCAAAAGACGAATATTACAAAGTGAAACCCGGGTAGTACTTTAAAAGAAGAACTGTATAACCTGGGTTCTCTTCTTAGCAGTTACCTAATTCATTTCATAACCAATGGTATCAAGCTGATAATCAATAACATTAGTAAGGAGTTATATGCAAACGGTTTTATTTACTATAATATAATCATAATTATTACTCACTGAAACAAATAAGCTAATCAGGAAAGCATTAATTTAATTTTTATAAAAAGAAATTAGAATATTAAAACAATTATATGATTGTGTTTTAAATTAGAATAACATAGAATAAAATATACATGAATTAAATAATAAACAAACCTTTAGCATCAGAGTTTTTGACTGCTTGACATAAAATACTAAATCAACATCACATGTTAGATCAGTGTGACCAGGATTGATGAGAGGATCACAAACTGAATGTTTATGAAAACCCTGTAAAGAAAATAAAAGAAGAAAAGAAGCATTAGTGTTGTAATGGGGAAAAGTTTTTCAGTGCAGATTTATACATAAATACGTCGACTGTGTAAACAATGGTAGCTCAGTGGTTAAAGCATTCATCTTTCAGCGACTAAGTCCCAGGTTCGAATACTTCACCACCTGTTCCGGCTTGATCAAACGGTGGTACCACTTAACCTAACACATACAATATGGTCTAAAGCCAAGCGCATGATTTTTTACCTCGTAAATAAGTTGGATTAAATGTAAAGACTGAAGAAACACAACAGAGGAGTTTGTAATGTCGGTTGCTATGTCAAGCCCACATAGCTAATTCTAGCTTCCGAACTGACCAATTTATTAATTCTTTCCAAGTCACATTTCGACCTTGTTAATTACTCGGTTATCGACCTTGACTGTTTTTTATGTGGTCGTATGTGTGTGCATTTCTTATCATGATCATCACATGTCTGTAAATTAGTTTTGTCTGAGTATAAACATCGATTCACATTTGGTGAAATCGAGTTGACTCACTCGCCTTCTCCACCAGGCGTCATTTTGTTTTTCTTTGCTTTCTAACCAACGATTATACGAAACATACATATTCAAAAATTTATTCTCGTATTTGACTTATTTAATTCTGTTATTCACTAACGCAAGTTAAGTCGATAATTATGTACGAGGATTGGCGATATGTATATTTAGACAGCAATCAGAAACGATTTAAAGAGAGTCAGATTTCGGGCCACTAAAAGTTCCCAAGCTATGTTTTTGATACAATAAGCCCCCAAATGCCCTGGTACGACCGAGGGTGGGGAGAGTCAACTCTCCTTCCCAAAATACTCTCACATGGCGTATGAACCAATTATTGGTCACCGGCTACCATGGGACTGCGTCTCCTGATGTTGCTCCGCTGTCTCGTGGATCGAACCTTTAGATTAAAGGCTCGGGATGTGGCCCCCTAAGAGAATCACCTGTCTCGGTCTGGGCACCCGGGCAGTATCATAGCCCACACACAAATCAAGTGATGCAGTTGAGATTTGAGGGTGAACGATTTTATGAAGGAGTTATAATTTTGACTACCACCTCACAATCATTTCAGTATTTTATCATATGAACTGAGTCTTTATAACAAATTGCATGAAATGATACTGAAACTTGTTAAATGAAATATGCAAAGACTTTGACTTACACGAAATGTATCACCTTTTTCACCTTCATGACCATAATCAATCAACAGTGCACTACCACCCGTTTTATTAATTCGTTTGCATAATAACTGTGTGATACATATCATATCAGGACAGATTTCCACAGAGTTTCGGTTCGACAGATTAGGAACTAACTATAGAAAATAATTGAAAGAAATTTGCAATCATCTAACACTATAAATCTGATTCATTAACTCATTAACCAGGTACTTGAGTGTGAAACAATTTAAATGTGAAAGCTAATGATACTACACGGTTTTGTGAACCGAACTAAGTGGATTTGAGTCCAAACTTTTGACTTGGTGGCTGAAAGTCGAGTGCCTTAGTCACTAGACTGACACAAATATCTATGAAAAGACACTTTATACAATCATAAACTTTACATATGGCTACGAAATCGCAAGTTATAATAATGTCAAAAATAGGTAGCTTCTGGAGATAGCTTTGTACACTAAAACATATTCAACGCAAAAAGAAGATAAGGATTGACAAGGCTTATCGTGTAAATTATCATAAATGGTTACACTGATTTATGTTATGAAAAGTATATGTGTGATCAGATTGTTTTAAATGTACTGTCTAAATATATCACATAGTTCTGGTAACCTTTATTATCTTACGCACTATTCAGACTTGTTTATTGTCTAGGTTTATTCTCAGGGTGGTTTCAGTGACTACTTAATAAATGAAATCTCTCTAATCAATTTCAGTGATTTAAAAATGTCACTTTTGTTTTCAAAAGTCCAGTAAAAAAACTGACAGATTCAGCTATAATAAAGAATTATTTTAATTTGTACATTCAGTGGACTCCCGAACTATTTCTAATAACTCTGTATTACACATCATCATAATATCATTATTCTGACATCTGATTTTCAGTTGAATAGACGAACTTGAATGACCGTATATCGCTTGATTGCATAATCCCAAGATTATATCAACAACAACTTTTTTGTTTCAATGGAAATTTAGAAAGAGATATATGCCATAAGTATTAGTTTGGCTATTTGTGAGACGTATTTAATAGGGTTATATTACTTGTAAGTAACTATTATATCATACAATTTCCTTACTATATTTTACTGATTGATATTACCAGTAATTATTCGGTTCTAATAAAACAATCATTTCAATTATCCGTGATTACCGTTGACTGTTTGATATTAATCTCATTCCTTCGAATGTAATTAATTAATGGATTTTGAGAGGTATTTACAAAATATTCTGATTTTTTCGATTCCAAATAATAACACTCAAGTGAAATTGAAGCTATGTGACTCGACAGTTGGAATAAAACTGAATATCATCAATTCAAAGTTTAAATAAGTACATTACTAGTAGTAATTAGTATAAAGGAATGAAATTTTCATGATAAATGCCAGATTACTATATGCAGCAATAGCATTGATAGTACTAACAAAAATTAGGCATAAATATTATGGTATGAGAAAATAAGTTTATAGGATAAAAGGTATAAGTATTTGACAACAAAGATTAAATGCATATGAGCCATTGAGACCGATTTTAAACCATATTGTTCAACGTCTCATACCATCGGTTACGATAATCTCGTGGACCTTAACAAATAAAATGCTAATGTTTATAGTACCTTAAATTTATGCACAGAAATTAGTTATGATCACATACTATGCGATTATGTTTAAAAAATAAATGTTGGGGTATTTTTCCACTTGAAAACGCTTTAGCATCCAAGTGCTCAGCAACTTGTTTTACAACTAAATTCTGATTAGATGCTCATTATTTTAGATCCATTAGTAGTATATCTAGTGACCTATCTAAAGTTGTTGGCGTAATTCCATTTTTATTTTAGTATTGTGGAGATTGCTGAATTTGTAATATCACATCACGAACTGACTATGGTTAATCCGTCAGTCAGCTACAACATAGGACCAGGCACATATGTGCATCCGTCTATGGTTAAACAGTGATTCAAAATCAGAAGGCATTGGACAGTTGTTTTGTCCAAGTAGAGTATGAGACAAATGTCATTAATGGCAATGAACGACGGCTGCACAATACCGTGAGCAGGGTGAAGCTCGGAGTATAAACCATTAGGTGCTCACCACGAGCCATAAAGATCCTGGGTTCGACTTCTTTTGAGGTCGTTGGTGCACACTGTTGGAGAGTCCCATACTAGAACGAAACAGCTATCTGTGGCCTCCTAGTCTTCAAAAGTTTTCTAACTTAAGTCAGTCTACGTGACATGAAACTTCAGTTCCATTTGTCCATAAACATTATACAACGGTTTAACGGTTACCGGGTGTTTAGGCTTAATGACGAAGCCTACAATATCGCGACGATGGACTCATTACCAAAGAATTCAATACATGATTTAATAAACAGAAATAAGCAGCTTACCGGAAGATATGCTATTGATGCTGGAGTTTTTGTGCTTGAACGTACAAAACATAAGCTATTAGAATTCATCATGGAGCTAACTAAAACTTCGTGCCATTTTCCTTCATGTTTCTAGAAAAAAAAAAACAAACGGGAGTGATAAGGCGAACAAAGTCATAACTGCATATTGCTATCATATTGTGTAAATGAGTTTAAATGATAGTAATGGTCGCATGAATATTTTAGTGGGCCATCTGACTTTAATACTTATTGGTCTCTCTCTCTCTCTCTCTCTCTCTCTCTCTTATATATATATATATATATATATATATATATATATATATATATATATCAGATTAATTTCGCATAAGTTTCTTGACTTGAGACGTGTATGCAACGCAGTATTAAAGACCGACATATGAAATGTTACATAAACAATTCAGGTATTCGTACAAGCATAAACTAGCAGACAATATGAACATATACAAGATGGAATCGGCACACTAGCTGGATAGCTAAATAATTTTGTATAAGTTTATATATAGAATAGATAATGGATAAGATGAGTACATACGCATAGACATCAAAAGGTACACGGTTAGTGGAATAAATGAGATCAATTATAAAAGACACATATGTATAGATCACAATTACTTATGAGTATATGATTATAAGGATAAAAATAGCACATTTATTGCATGGTCTTTAGATTATTACTAACTATTTAAATAAGAACATATTTCTGTAAGCGTATATGAAGCCATTACAATATATGATGACTTACCTGAAAACAATGAACTGGAAGCACATCGAAAAATTCGTGACCTATAAAAAATGAGAACTTTTCAGGAACTTGGCGTAAGTCAGTATGCCAAAATATAGGTGGAGGTTTATTATCTAAACATGACACAGTTTTTTCCATTGTTTGCTTTTGAGTCTGTTGCATTGATTGACTTATTTCAACTAAGTGTATTGATAATGTTGAATATATGTCTGGGAATTTGGAAAAAACCTGGAATAAAATGAAGCACAATTGATTAAGATACATTTTTTGTAAGTTAGTAATTCATTAACGGCCAAAATATGGTATGTGAACGAAATTGAGGGATCTTTAAAATGACGTTTTGATTTTGAAGCCATTTTTCAGTCAATGAGCAGATGATCTGCATATATAGGAAGTATTTCGCAACAAAAATGATCAGATCTGTCAGAGATTAGTACAATTAGGAAGTTCATTAGTTTATCGAGGGTTATTATCAGTTATCCGATTTTAATATGGTAGGAGTATCGTTACATAACCTCGTCTGTGTGGATGCAAAATTTTTCAGGCTAAAAGGTTTGTTTTCGAATTGTTCTTATAACTATAAATGTTCCCCAGAAAATTCATTATTAACTACAAAATCTTTGTTCCTAACTTCTCTGAAGAGTCGGGAATATCGAGTTATAGGAAAGTTATCGTTGTCCCCATTCTGACATGAGAAATTCATGCGTAAAAAGAAGTGTTTAGTTTAGTATACCTACTTCACCAGCTTTCCTATTCTTCATCAAAACAATTATCAAATAATTTCTTTATAGTTTCACTATAAACAAAGAAAACTGAGACGAAGACTGGTTTGTTTACATGTTATGTAAGATTGTGTAAAAAAGTGAGTATCCGGTAATTATAAAAACGTTCTGATGTCTATACTAAGACATTACCATTACACTTGTAGTGAAAGATAAAAGCCACTCATTTTTGAAAATCGTTCAAACATTCGAAGTACATTTTAATTCTGACTGGATTGTCCGTATACTATACTTTAACCTTAATAACTAACAAACCTATGTTATTCAAATTAATCAATGGTATAGCTATAAACTAGTAAGAGACTGTTAGTAAATGCCACCTTTATTGAAACCACATACAGGTTCATACACTTAACTTTGAGAACCACTTTCACTATCAAAGGAATAATAATATTTGAATGAAGTGTTCGCATATGTGAATTAAAAGTCTAGTAATTTGGCTACTAAACCGTCACCATAAATTGGTTAACGTAATCACTAGACTTACTATTCAAGAGAAATTAAAAATGAATCTATTTGCTACCGCGACCAATTTCAAGTAATACCAAGGTTATAAACATAGCAACACATATTCCTGTATTATCTAAGTTAGACTACGAACGAATGTCCACAGACAATCAGAGAAAAAGCAGTAAGCTTCCTCTAAGTATTTGAATATAAACCACGTAACGATTTATAGGAAGTGTTTTCGTGGAAATTCTACAGATTTCAGGGTCAGGTTGATTACCGACAACCAAACAACGTTAATCATTCATATGTACTTTTGCAAAACTTATTTTAAACTGCCAAGATACGCTGGGTCTTTAGATAAAAATAAATAATGACATTATTATGATCCATCAAGGTAAAAACATTATATTTTCATCAAACAAACCCTTAGTATATCAGAGCAAAGTGTGCCACGTCCTGGACCAAGTTCGACGAGTTGTAGGTGTTTAGGGCTGTTTTGTCTTTTCCATTCTTCCAGCAACCATACACCTATCAACTACTAGAGTATTTTAAGCAAAAGAAACATGGTTACCTCACCAAAGATTTGACATATTTCAGGTGAAGTGGTAAAATCTCCAGATTTTCCGAAAACACTATGTGTATTATAATAACCCTGAAAGGTAATCAACTAGAAATTCTTACAAATTACATATAGTGGGTTAGATAAACATTCTTTCATATATTCAGCTACAGTTAAGGGTCCGAAAGTGTTAATACGTTCCAACAAATGCTTATTTAGGACTTGAGATATTTGTTCTGGAGATTCGGAGGAACTAGAATAACGACCACAGTGCATAGTGCAAGACAAAATATTGCGTACATTGCGCAGTTTTGAAAAGTAGGACATTCTCCAAATTGAGGTAAAAATAACTCTTTAAGAAAGAGAAATAAGCACTTTATATACATTGTGACAAACAAAAATAACAACATTGTGTAGTATGCAACTATAAAACTGAATGATAGGGAAACAATGAAGTCTAACTACGGAGTGCGATTTATTACTGACTTAAAAAACTGGTGAGTTCATCCCTGTTTTAGGTTTTACGAATTCAAGTAGTATGAAATTTAGTTTTGTTAAAAATGGTGAACTTTGGATAAGCGTTTGCAGTTGCATCATAATTTGCTACTAACTGAACGGACCACTTATTAGTACAAACGTTCCCACACGTTGTTACTGAGGTGTGTGCATGAATTATTGATTATACTAGTTTGTATTATAGATGATAAAAAACACAAGAAAAAGACATTTAAGATTAAGTTTAGTCACCAATAGGAATGTGAGTTACAGCTAGATTTATAAATTGTAACGGCTTAGTTAGATGATGGTGACTTATTTAGAAGATTATTATTATCTCTATCAACTCTTAGTTTCATCATCAGTTTAGTATTAGTTTCATAGTCATTGAACAGAAGACTTGTCGATTCCTTCCACCAGCCTACAACCTGCGTTTCTTTGTGTATATAAACCAATCCTTACGTCCTGATGGTTCTTTCGTGGGACTAAGTTTCGAGAAGTGTCTAATCAGAGATTTTGGTAAGTGTCGATGAAGTTCAATGGATTTCAACAAAAGTGGTGAGAATTCTGAGTAAACCTTAAAAAAAACTTTAAATTCGCCTTAGTCTTGCGAGTTTTTATTAAGCAAGCTGAAGAAAAAACCCAGGTCAGCGGAAATTTTGGAGTCTCCAACCACAACTTTACCAAAGCTTCCCCAAAGTTAGGGGACTGAGTGAATTCATATTTTTCACTAACCTAAGGCCGAGAACCCTTAAGACGGCAACACTGGCTCGAGAATTACAAATGAATAAACTCAATTACATCGACATTTCAGTTTGGTGTTGGAGTATTCAGCAGCCAGTAATTTTATACATATAACAGCATTGCCAAAACTAAACAACTCATTTACCAGGTAAACGGATAACTAATGAGATGAGTAATAACTAGGGTAAAACGGTTCGGATGATGCTTCTATTTCGTTTTTCAAATACGGCGAGTTTCATCGTCAACCACAAGGTCGTGAGTCACAGTTTAAATCGGTGCAGTCATGACTTGTAGGTCATTTCAATGCCCAATGGCCTGTGAAGAAGTCTTCTAAACCAAAAACTATCCCACAAAATAACTGAAGTATGTTTGATAGAAGTTAGTTAGCTAATACTATGACGACTGGTATGATAGTGATGATGAACGTTCTAATAATGGTGACGTTGTTAGTACCGATGGTTTTCATTCAGTTCAGTAGAATAAATAAAATTCATATTAGGTGGTAATTTTCGGGGTTAAATAGGCTACCTAAAGATGAAAGATAAAAGGATTTATCAAAATGTGATTGACAGGCATGTATCACCAATTTACCAGACTAAACATACAATAAACTCAAATGGCAGTGTAGCGGTAAATAAATCCCCAAAGTAAATAGCCCTGTAAGTTTTCGACATTGGATGCTGACCATATGTTTTAGTGGACTCATCTAGCTGAAGGAGCTCAGTCAGGCATTCGCACCAGATCACGTGTGGTAACGCCGTGCTCAACGTCTACCGCAATCGCTAGTCAGATTAGATCAGAGAATTCCGATATATTGGTAATCGCCAACTACACTCTCCCGATCTCCTCGACTCTGTCTTTTTATTTCTCTCGGTGGGTACAAACTATATTAGAAGGTGTTGCTAGTAAAAGCGTTGTCAAACACTGTACACCTGTGTCATCTTCATTGGTGAGACCGACGTGATCTGGTGCACTTAATTGCAACTGTGAGTCTGTTCCTTTTTAGGATTTTTATATATTATTGCCTTGTTTCTTATTTTTTATACGTTGTGATATTTTTTCGTGTTTTTTTCTCGGATATATATATTTTTTCCCCTCGTTCATTATCGTACTTCATATTTCATCATGACCGAACAGACACCTAAAGTACTCAAGCTTAAGACCTTGTCCCCACCTTCGTTTCAACTCATGCCTTTCTGGCCCGACAACATCGAAGCCTGGTTCTGCTACGCAGAAGCCGACTTCCACGAGCACGGCGTGATCGACACACGTGCACAATTCCTCGCAGTAGTCAAGGCACTACCGCGGGAATTCAACAGGTACGTAACACCTAGTATGTTTACTAGTGATGTTTCCGATCCTTACGAAATCTTAAAACGCTCGATTCTTAAACGAGGAGACCTAACCGATCGACAAAGGTTAGATCAACTCTTTAATAACATCGACCTGCAACACGGTTCTGCGACGGACATGTTGCAACGGATGAGAGAGGTTATAGGCCCAAGAACTTTCGACGAAGGTCTATTCAAACAACTCTTCTTGTCAAAACTTCCCCAACAGGTGCAAGCAGTTCTGGTCTCGTTCCAGAACAACGCCTTAGACGAGCTAGCTGCATCTGCCGACCGCATTCTAGAAATTACGAAACCTTCTACTACCGAGGTATTTTCAGTCAAAGAAAAGCCTCACACGACTCAGAATGACATAACCGACTTATGTCACACACTTAGTCTTCGTACCGACCGTAAGAGATCGCGCACACCACGTAGAAGCATTTCTCGTAAGCGATCTGTCTCTAGACCACGAGAGACAGATAACCCCGACTGGTGCTGGTATCATAACCAGTATGGAAAGTTTTCCAGAAATTGCAGAAAACCCTGCAATTTTCACTCCAAACCGACCGACTCGAAAAACAATTCGGGAAACTTCCAAGCCGGCACGCGTTAACGGCAACCGTAGCCGGCGAACAAAGCCGTCTGTTATTCGTCACAGATGTGACAACGAGAGTTCGCTACCTCGTCGACACTGGCGCAGAAGTTAGCGTTCTCCCAGCAAATCCTAACGACCGACTTCACGAATCGACCCTAAACTTACAGGCGGCAAACGGAAAACCGATCGCTACGTATGGCAAAAGGTACGTTTACCTTAACGTGGGTTTACGCAAACCCATCCACTGGATTTTCGTCGTTGCAGATGTTTCTATGCCAATCATTGGTATGGACCTTCTACAACACCACAATCTGATCATCGACACTCGCAAACGGAGGCTAGTAGACGGAAACACTAATTTGTCCGTTTGCGTAACTTCTTTTACTGGTTGTAGAGTATCCCCAGTCACAGTTAAGCATATGATAGACCCACTCTATCAACCACTACTCGATAAGTACCCTGGGATACAACAAACGCAACCGAAACTACCGTGTGTAACCAGCAATGTTACACATCACATCACGACTACAGGACCACCTGTATTCTCTAAAGCACGACGACTAGCTCCTGAAAAGCTAAGGTTAGCGAAAAACGAATTCGATCACATGATGGACTTAGGAATCATACGACCGTCAAGTAGCCCATATGCATCTCCGTTGCACATGGTCCCTAAAAAGGACAGCAACGATTGGCGTCCAACTGGTGACTATCGGCGATTGAACGCGAAAACCATTCCCGATCGTTACCCGTTGCCTCACATTCACGATTTGACAGCTACCTTGAAAGGTACAACTGTCTTTTCGAAAATCGACTTGGTTAAAGCGTATAACCAAATCCCTATGGCTACTGACGACATACCGAAAACAGCTATCATAACTCCCTTCGGACTCTATGAATTTTTGCGAATGCCTTTCGGTCTAAGGAATGCTGCTCAAACATTCCAAAGATTCATAGACGACGTTTTTCGAGGTCTCAACTTCGTACACGCGTATGTTGACGACTGTCTAATCGCAAGTCCGGACAGAGAAACACATCTCAAGCATCTGGACCTTGTTTTCGAACGATTACAAAAACATGGCATAACTGTAAACGTTCAGAAATGCCAATTTGGAACCGACTCGTTAGACTTTCTGGGACACACTATCGATGCTCAAGGTATCCGACCCCTTAGAACCAAAGTGGCGGCCATTCTGGATTACCCAGAACCGACCACCGTCAAGCAATTACGCACGTTCAACGGCCTGGTAAGTTTCTATAGACGTTTCATACCGAAATGCGCATTACTTATGAAACCTCTGACCGACCAACTTCGTGGAAATGCGAAATCCATTAATTTGGACGACACCGCACGAAAAGCATTCTCCACAGTCAAGGAACTGATTGCTAAAGCAACAATGCTCGCACATCAGGACACCCGAGCACCCATTAGCATCGCAGTAGACGCATCCGACTCAGCAATCGGAGGAGTCTTACAACAATGGGTTAACAACTCCTGGCAACCCTTGGCATTTTTCTCTAGAAGGTTGCTAGACACCGAATCGAGGTACAGCACATTCGGTAGGGAACTCCTAGCTATGTATTGTGCTGTACGGCATTTCCAACACTATATCGAAGGCCGTGAATTCACTCTTTTCACGGACCATAAACCGCTCACTTTCTCGTTAAGCTCTCCTTCTGACAAGTACTCTCCCCGTGAGTCTCGACAACTGGACTACATTTCGCAGTTTACTTCAGATATTCAACACATCTCTGGAGCAAACAATGTAGTTGCAGACGCCTTATCTCGCATAACTTCCTTGAACAGTTTCCAAGGAATCGACCTTCTTAAACTCGCCGAGCTTCAAAAAGAAGACAGTGATCTTCAGCACGAGTTATCGTCCACAACACTTAAACTACGCATCAAACAGATGGGAACAGGTAAGGAAACCTTACTTTGTGACACATCTACAGGTAGGGATCGCCCAATCGTGCCGAAACATTATCGACGCAATGTCTTCAACACATTGCACAAACTTTCTCATCCAGGTGTTCGTGCAACCATCAAGCTTATAGCAGAACGATTTTGCTGGCCTGGCATGAATAAAGACGTGAGGGAGTGGGCACGCTCCTGTGTAAGCTGCCAAAAATCTAAGGTTATCAGACACAATAAATGTCCCTTAGGCTCGTTTAAAACTCCCGATGCTCGTTTCGACCATGTTCATCTGGATTTGGTAGGACCTTTACCAGATTCAAATGGATACTCTTATCTCTTAACCTGCGTAGACCGTTTCACTCGATGGCCAGAAGCAGTACCTATCAAGGACATCACTGCTGAAACAGTGGCCCGCACATTCGTCGAACGATGGGTAGCAAACTTCGGTTGCCCTTCAACCATCACTACAGACCGCGGACGTCAGTTTGAATCTGATCTTTTCCGTCGTCTGACCACACTTTTAGGAATCACTCGCTTCCGAACGACCGCCTACCACCCACAAGCAAACGGGTTGGTAGAACGTTTTCACCGACAACTGAAAGCTTCGCTATCAGCTGCAAACGTTTCACAATGGACCGACGCTCTTCCACTCGTCTTACTAGGTATCCGCAATGCAGTGAAAGCTGACATTGGATACACTGCGGCTCAACTCGTTTATGGAACGACACTTCGACTTCCAGGAGAATTCGTGGATCCTTCGTGCTCTTCGATGAACATGGATCTAACCTCCTACACGAACAGGCTTACAAACGCAATGCGTTCAGTTAAACCTGCTTCCACTCGACCTCAATCAACTGATGTTTTCGTTCAACCTGACTTACGATATAGTACACACGTTTTCGTTCGTCGAGACTCGCATCGACGACCATTCGAATCAGCATACGAAGGACCTTTCAAAGTTCTTCAACGTGAATCTAAGTACTATATAGTCGATAAGAACGGAACCAACGATAGCATCAGCATCGATCGCTTAAAAGCAGCGTATTTAGAAGGAAATCCTATCTACGTCGATTTTCCTTCGGTACAATCGAACGACACGACTCTACTCATAATTCCTCAACCGACAACCAACACTGGCGATGATACTCCGAATGTATCTGAAAATAAACTTAAAACGACGCGTTCTGGAAGAAGAGTTAGATTTCCAGAGCATTTAAACGACTATTGCACGTAAGGCACTACTAGACATTTAATATTATCCCGATCTTTCTTTTTACGATATATAATATATTTTAAAAAATTTTTAAATGTGCTTATATATTTTTATTTTTATTCCAAAAAACAAAAAAACATTATAAATTTTTTCTAACGATATTACGTGTAAATTAGTTTATACTCCAATTTTTTTCTCCGACATTGTGTTTTTACACACATACGAGTGTATTTCGACATGCACTTACATTTTCTTTTTTCTTTTCCAGGACGGCTGGAAAAGAACGATGACGTTTATGAGGAGCTGAAATTTTCATTTTACTTTTTCTTTTTTTACTATGTTGTACCTCGGTCTCATATAGTAAGGAAAGACGACCAGACGCTGCTAAACTTAGCAAGCTATCAGAAGAGTGTTTACCAACGACAAACTCGCTGGGTTTAAACTTCTGGCTGGCCACGTCTCAGGGTCATCACTACCCCACTAAGGGGGGAGTGATCTGTAGCGGTAAATAAATCCCCAAAGTAAATAGCCCTGTAAGTTTTCGACATTGGATGCTGACCATATGTTTTAGTGGACTCATCTAGCTGAAGGAGCTCAGTCAGGCATTCGCACCAGATCACGTGTGGTAACGCCGTGCTCAACGTCTACCGCAATCGCTAGTCAGATTAGATCAGAGAATTCCGATATATTGGTAATCGCCAACTACACTCTCCCGATCTCCTCGACTCTGTCTTTTTATTTCTCTCGGTGGGTACAAACTATATTAGAAGGTGTTGCTAGTAAAAGCGTTGTCAAACACTGTACACCTGTGTCATCCTTCAGCAGTATCCAGCTACCTACTTTGCATATCGTCTCGTGAAATATGCATATTCTGTTGAATATCCAGTGAGGTATCAGGCATCCTGATGACCAGGTACTCTTAATCATTAGACATAATCAAAGGAAAAATGAAGACATAGAAGGAGGATGACCATGAGATTAACAGATCAATAGTTATCACTGCTTATTGTCGATTTACAGGTTGCCTGTTCCCAAATAAAATATTGAATTTTGATTGACATTATCAACTCACTTCTGAATGGAGTTGTAAATACACGCAATTACAGATGGAAATTGCTTCTCGTTACAATACAAAATGATCAGCACACCTAAAGGGTCTGACGAAATGTTAATCAGTGAGTTTGATAGTGGCCCTAATATATGGGTGTGATTAGGCTGTGAATTGACTGAAGACTTGTGTCTATCGTGTTTTTGTACGGTTGAATCATGTTCATCTTAGTCCTTACTTGTAACATCGAAAAAATGAGATCTGTGAATAGCGCTCAGGCATTTATCATAGTATTTCCCTGTGGAAAAGCTCGTAGGTCCACCTCATGGCCAAGACAGAAGTCAGTGTTTTGAATTGTCATGTTCGACTGAATTATGGACCGTAAGTAATAAGAGCATACTATAATAGCATCTTTATGGGCTATTAAAATGATCTTCGAACGTAAAGCTGAATTATGTGGGTGATGAAATCTGGCTTTTCTGAAATGTTCAGCAAATGTGCAGTATCTTGGATCGTAGGGCATTTAAAGAAATGAGTTTCGACTATGAGAGTGTTATTTTTTATTCAATCCCAACACCTCACCATATCCGTGTTTTGTATCCGTGTCAGAGTGCACTGCGCAAACATGTTCTCAGCATTCATATGCTTAAAACGAAATGCGAAGTAATATTCGCACTACTACATACAGTACTTATCTAATAAACTGACTGAAAATTATTGCAAGATACGGAGTGTTTCTTAAATGAGAATCCAACTTTCTGTAATCAATTATACTTCTCCCCAGGTTTATTGTGTATTTGTATTTATTGGCCTGTTTCATCAGACCTCCCATAGATTATAGAGGAATTCTTTCACGAAGATTATTTTGTTTAAGCAATGTCATCATTGTTTCCTTTGCGTTTGATTTAATAATTCTGCGCTAAGGGACGTTCTCTACCATCCTCTTCGGGTCTTTTAACTTTGCAGTAGTAGCAGACTTGGCATTTATTGGCATCTTGAAAAGAACACTTCGTCATTTGAATGAGCTTTTTTCCAGATTTGTTATGTTAATCCCTTCAGTCAATCGATCACGCAGCTGCACATGAAGTTAATTGCTGAAATTGCACTTGGCAGCCTGTTTACGCGATGCAAGGATAAATTCTCGAGCGTTTGGATTGTCTTGGAGAATCAGTTTACGAAATTTTAATTTCTCACGGCATTCGAAACTAGCATACTTTACTTGATTTAATAGTAGTTCATTGAGAGTTGTACAGGGAGCTGAAATAAGCTTTTCTGGGAATGCCAAAGTTTTTAGTAGGCTGTAGGCATCCTTTGCGATGAATGTGAAGAAATGAGCCACAGTTTCATTGTCCCTAACATCTTTCCTAGTCATAGTCCAGATTTCAAATCTTTGTATGCAATCCTCAAAAACTTCACAATTTGAAAGTATATCTAACTGTTCAATCACAGGCTCCACCGTGACGCCAATATGATGATTAGCACTAATCGAATTAACGTACTAACTAGAAATTCCCTAAATAGTTCACTTCAAGCCAGATAGAACTAGATAATCACAAACGAACGTAATGTATATGAATTTCGTAACGAGCAGGCAATCTAGTACAGAAAAATTATTAGTTCGTACAAAATGTGATAATTAGAAGTATTTGAATTAAAGTACAAATTATGAATACCAGAAATAACGCAGTTTAATCAAGAAGTACTCGATAAGCACAAACGAATGTATTGCATTTGAAATTCAAAACTAAGCATTCAACAAGTACAAAGGAATCATTATTCTGTACAAACACCACACAAACACAAGACCAGAATAGTGGTTATGTTTGGGTGTGACCCAAAGCATAATTTATGTGGCTGGTAGAGATTTGAAGAATTATGGTCTACTATGATATTAGTACTGCTCTAAAACAGACCTGATCCTATAATTGTAGATTTGTCATGATATAACTGCCTCATCTATAAGATCGTACGTGAAAATCACATCATCGTCTACACCAACTCATTACATCTTAACAATTACCAATGCACAATGGAGAACAAACTTAGGCTAGATATATAACATTATATTTACTATGAATGAAAGATATAAGGTAACGTTCAGCAGGGACCACGCCTGCGTGACCGAGCCATGCCATACGATCAACTCCAAATAATTCAATTCATTCTTTCCGCCCTCTTCATCGTTAGGTTTTTCTCTGTGTTAAATGTTGAATGTCTTTTTCCCATATTGTCTCGTATTAGGGCCCAATGTCACTACAGATTCACTGAACCGAACGAATTGTTTAGGGATATTATGACTTGTTGATCTCACTAGTACTAATGAACGGTGTCCGCGAGATGAATTTTAGTACTTTCCGTCAGTGCTAAATTAAAGATCTTTAGAATCAGTAATCACTGTGGAGGTTAGTTGAAATGCTTGTTCTTGGATAAAAGAAAGTTCTGCATTAAGTTTTAAATGTAAATGTGAGTTAATATAGAAAAAAATGTTACCATTAAGTTATTTAATCAACAGTCGTTCAAAAAACTGAAATGATCAAATCTAAATAACGTTAAGTAGATAAATTATTGAGGGATATATGGTAATTATCAGTTCCAAAAATAAAAGTTTCTATTAGTACATGAATATTGTTCTTTCCTCTTCAAACAGATCACATACAGTCTGTTCTAAAGATAATAAAACATCAGTCACAAAGAGCATTAAGAACCGAAAGTTTAATTACTTTATGCAGCAATGAGCGTTTTCAGTTCTGGATATTTACTATAATTCATAATAAAAAAATGCTCAGTTTTAGTCAGTTTGAGCAACACAACCAAAAGTGGGAGAGAAGCAACACCTCAACATTATAACCAAAATGTCAAATGAAAACGTAGATTTAGAATCATAGAAATTTAGTAGTAGAGTAAAAAACATAAACCATAATAAAATGTAAATGGTAACCGTCTCACTTGCAATCAAAAGATCAAAGGAATGTACATCTTAAAGGATCAAGAAGAATAGCTTCAGATTTAAAAATAAAGCAACAAGTTAAATTAAAATGGTGTCTGAGTGGACGCGATTTTTATGCGAAATCGCATAAAGCATCCATAAAGGATCTTACACTTAGCATTGCCAGTAATATTGTGAATGTCGTACGAAAAAATCTGTAGTGCCATAAATGTTAGTTTATATTTGATAGACAAGCTCTAAACTAAATATCCTGATACATTTTCCTGGGAAAATAAATACGGATTGCACTTTTACATATACAAGTTTCGGCTACTGATGAGTGAGTGCTTGGATAAAAAAGATTAGCACAATAAGAATGAGGGCACATACAGATGTGTTTGCAAGTGAGGTATAGACGAATAAAAAATATGTATATGGTATAACGTACTACAAAGATTTCTTTAATTATATTAATAAAAACATAATAACATAAAGTGAAACATTACACATGCAAATATGAGACAGGTCCACTTTAGGCAGGAAGATATTTATGTCGTTAAATACTGATACTTAAAAGAGTCCGTGGAGTAACTAATTATAATTATAGACATAATGATCCAATGAGTGGGTATTTTGACTGTGTAAATCCGATAATGTTATGATTATTTAATAACACACGAACTTGTATTAATAGAATATTTAATACATAATCGAATGATTGATACTTGTTATACGGTGTTTGTAGCCTGAGTTTGTTTTAGAGGTATAATTGTCCAGGACATCAGTAAGCGGGTTTTTGTACGTACGTCAGAATATCACTTTGTTGTGAGAGGTTATGTCTCGTCTTGTAGTCAAACATGTAACCGTCTACATTACGTTCGTAGGTCTAAAATATGAAAAGTTGGATTGTCTGTGTTGTGTTGGAAATTTGAGTCGAATTCGTTACGTGTGTCGAGTTTCAAAGGCTGGACTTTCTACATAGTCGGATTTACTAGTTTATTGTGACACATCTGACTTCGGCTGCAATATGGGTCTTGATTTGCTTGACATGGATTTGTTAACATATTTACAAAAAGCGAAATTAATAATCGGATACGAATTTAGTTATGAATATATATCATTTAAACCTTCGTATGTGAGTAGACATCTCATAGGAATGAAAATGTATGTAATGTAGATTCTTGGCCCGAGCGAAAGGCATTGAGTAGTGACTGAGTTTATATACCCAAATAAACAGTGGATAAAATTGAAGCGAGCAGATTAACATATACACATCAGAAATATACGTATGAGTATGGAAATGTACAGTACAAGAATTGAATAATCACATTTACAGGATTAGGTACCATGTATCTATCGATGATAGATGGAAGGAAATATGCTTGCATACAGTCATAAAATACGTGACTGGACTGAAATGACACATTTACTGGTCATACAAGAATAGTCTTAAATCCAGAAATCCAGGGATTCCAGTGCACATGTATTGTTTGTTTTGTCCAGTTGCTCTTATTCGAGTTTGAATAGACCAAAAAACTAGAGTGACCAATGAATTACTTAAAATACATGATAGACGTATAAGTATTTACAGAAGAGGTACTATTAGGAAAAAAATGTAGGTACAGACTAAACTCAATGTATATGGAGAATACTTTTCCAATGGGGGTAGACTCTGGGTAATAAACATAATTATCCTAGAAAGGAAAATTATTCTTACCAGTCAAGGAATATTATTTACCCTAAGAGAAATGATGGGTCAATTTTAATTTGCTCTAAAGGTGAGCAAGCAACGGTGAAATGAGAATCATACAAGAAATGCAAAAATCACTGAAATGATTACCAATTATCAACAATAAAGGTTCCTAAAACCTGGAGAATGCCCTTTGATGTCAACAATGTAGAATGGAAACTATCAGCCTGCAGGACC